GGGTTGGACTCGATGATCTATTGAGGTCCCTTCTGACCCTAACATCTATGAATCTATGAATCTATGAATCCATCCAGGTTTATCTTAAATTGGTTTCCGCTATTTTGGAAGTAGCTTATGCGCACTGAACTTCCATTACGTTACAGATTTGAACCGATTTCCAATCATTTATACTGGTTTATGTGTAATTTCTGTCCCTAGCCATCAAAGTGGTAGTTACTCACAACTGTTGAATGCCTCTATTACTCAGCTATGGAATCCACACAAACATTTAGCTGTAATATGGAAAACAGGCACTTATTTTTTTTGTTTTACTTTCAGGGCAATGTGAAGTATCCCAGCATCAGCAGACTTTGGCTAGCCTTTACTTTGCTCTTTGCAAGTTCACCTGTTTTCGCTTGATGGAATGCTACTTGGGATTTGCACTTAATATTTCATGGTGCACTTGGGTATGTGTCATCACAGTGCAAATGATGATTAACTATTTTGGAAACATGTTTTGCCATATTACTTTTAAGTCTGCTTTGAACAGAGGGCATGAAATCACAGAGGTATTTAAATTTACATTAAAAGTCAACAAAAAAATCTCACAAAGATTTCCACCTTTTTTTTTTATATGGAACCATTTTCCCTCATGCTCTTATCTGTTTTTCACCAGCCTTGCTTATAGAGATCACACTGTGGAAGTATTTCTTTTCTACGTATTTGTTCTTTCTGTGAAAAACATTTTGAAAGAAGACTTTTTAAATGTCAGCATCCTTATTTGGGGGGGGGGGAGAAGAGTGGGGAAAGAGGCCCACTTCTTTTTAGAATTCCAGAACATTGCTCCCACTTTTATTTTATATAAAAGTCCCAGCTCTTGGATACTGCAGGGAGCAATCAGAATAAAAAAAGAAGGCACATCACAGCTGGAATCAGTTTAGATAAAGAAACACTCTGTATGCTCTGGTTCGCTCTATAATTGTATTTTCTACAGGTTGTGTGAAGTTCCTTTAGGAGGTGTACTTTATCCAGATGGAATTGCTTTGTCTCTTTCCAAAGCTAGCTGGTAAATGCAACTGACCAGGCAAGTGCATAAACTACATGGGAAACAAGACACAAACACCTAATAAACAGGTATGTGTCTGAGCACACAAGTGGTTAATGTATGGGTAACTTGATTATCGAAAAGCACATTTGTGAATTTTGCACACATAGCTGTCTATAAACCAGATTTTCACAGGTTCCTTTCAGAAATTACCTTTTAAAAATGAAGCCCAAAATTGTGTGTCAAATTGTGTAGCAACTATGTTCATCATTGTCAAATAAGCATGCTTCTAACTTGGAAAAATCAAATGATGCTATCCAAACACCCCAACCTTAGAGAAAACCTTAATCATTAAACATTAATTGAAACTCAAACAGTTAATAGTCTCGGTCACTAGTAAACTGACCTTAGTCCAGTCCATTGTGAAGACAGACTTAGCCAGGACTACCGTCTGAGGGCTCTACTACTTGCCTTAGCCAAAAGAGATGCCCAAACACTAAAACCCAGGCCCACAAATAGTAAAACAGGCATGAGTAGCCCCCAAACCTCTCAACTTTGCATACTAGTGAGGACATGCAAAGAAGGAATACACAGTTACCACAACAGAACATAACCATAGCTGAACCTATACAATATAACCACCCCACTATCCCCACTTCACCTGTCCCAGCACAAACCTCTGCCTGCCACCTCTTCTTCCCAGCCCTGCACCTCCATCCCAATTTCACCATCTTGCTTTCCCCACCCCCCATCCTGCCCGGTGCTTCAGACTAACCAGAGCCACATGGCCCTGCCTACCTTTGAGACAAGCAGTTGTTACAGGCATGTGATTGGGCAATGAGATGCAGAGGAAGCATGTGGCTGGGGTGGGAGGGGGCTATGACCACAAAGCCCTGATGGAGAGTTTTCTGCAGGGTGCCAAGCTGCATTCCTCCTCAGAGACAAGCTGGTACTGTTCTGTTCTGTCTGTCCATCAGTACTTGATCCAACCTTATTCTAACAACAGATCTTCAATCAAGCACTGTTTCATAGTCAACTCAATTTTTATGGACATTATAGACAAGAGTTTTTAGCCTTTTTTATGGACCCCTTCATACACTTATGGACAGTTAGCAACCTGAACCCACCTTTTGCATTAACTGTTTTTGAAGGACTTGATCCTGGTGGAACAGAATTACACTTAGGTAACTAAGTCCTCCTAGGTGCCCATTAGGTGGAACAGGATCTGGGTAAAGATGATCTTCTAAAAGAGTTCAACACAGAGTTCAGACTAATGGAAGGCAAGCTTCTGAATGCCAGCCAACATGGCTTTGTGACTGGCAGATCTTGCCTGACCAACCTCATCACCTTCTATGACCAGGTAACATGTGCCCTGGACAAGGGAGCTGATGCGGACGTCATATATCTGGATTTCAAGAAGGCCTTTGACCTAGTTCCCCATGATGTCCTTATGGCTAAGCTGGGGAACTGTGGCCTTGATTATCATACAGTCTAATGGCTTGGGAACTGGCTACGGGGTCAGACCCAAAGAGTAGTAGTTGATGGGAGCAAATCAACATGGTGCAGGGTGACCAGTGGAGTCCCTCTGGGCTCAGTACTTTGGCCAGTACTCTTTAACATCTTCATCAATGATTTGGATTCGGGAGTCAGATGTGAACTGGCCAAGTTCGTGGATGATACCAAATTAAGGGGGAGGGTGGTCACATTGTAGGACAGACTAGGGATACAGGCCGATTTGGACACGCTCTCAAGGTGGGCCAACCAAACACTTATAGCCTTCACTGTAGCGAAGTGTAAGGGGCTGCACCTCAGTAGGACGAACCCCCAACACACTTACAGGGTCGGCAGTGCTACGCTCATTAGTACCACAGCTGAAAGGGACTTGGGGGTCTTGATTGACCACAAGATAAATATGAGCCACCAATACAATGCTGTGGCAGGCAAAGCAAACCAAACTCTGGCGTGCATCCACCAATGCACCTCAAGCAAAACCAGGGAAGTCATCCTCCTGCTTTACTCGGCCCTGGTGAGACCGCAGCTGGAGTACTGCATCCAGTATTGGGTGCACTTCAGGAAGGATGTGGAGAAGCTTGAGAGAGTCCAGACGAGAGCCACTCGTATGATCCAAGGCCTGGAGGGAAGGCCGTACAAGGAGAGGCTGAGGGACTCGGAACTCTTCAGTCTGGAGAAGAGAAGGCTCAGGGGCGCTTGGTGGCAGCCTACAACTACATAAGAGGGGTACATCAGGACCTCGAAGAACAGCTGTTCACCAGAGCTCCCCAAGGGATAACAAGGTCTAATAGCCATAAACACCAGGAAGGCCAATTTAGACTAGACATAAGAAAACAGTTTTTTATGGTGTGTGTGTGTTCAGGGTCTGAAAAAAACTCCCCCCAGAGGTGGTGCAAGCCTCTTAACCTCTCATTACACCTGTTTTCACACCTATTCTATGATTACTTGGTCAGATCCACCACTTTTCAACATCACTGGCAAACTTCAAGCCAGGTCCAAGCTCGGCCTACGTTCACTGTAAGTGTAGGCATGCGCAGACACTATATCAGGCAATGGCAATCAGCCAAGCCCTAAGCATCAGCAGATAATTATTTTGGCCTATTGTTAAAGCCTCTCTAGATAGCTGCTGTTTCCCACTGAAGGTCCCCTATGGTTTGCCCTCCATAACTCTCCTCTCCCTTGTGTTTAATAGTTTTAGGCTTTACATCCACTATTGCAAAATAATGAAGGATTCAAGGCACCACACATGCCTATTTCATGGGTACAGAACAGATTGTTTGAAGGTAAGAAAATTCATTAAAAAGTATTCTTTATTCATTACTTTCATTTAATTTGGAAAGTCTTGTCATGGGCACATGGATCTGAGGAACAGATGAGAGATTAAGCAATTGCTAATATATTCATACAGATGGGTCTCACCAAATAACATAGGGTCTACTTCATCTGACCTGCAGAGAGTAGCTTGTCAATTATCACACACTCAGCAGACCTGGAAACATACTGTACATCCCTTTAATTAGAACAGCATCCATCTTATACAGTGGACATGCTGATTTTTTAGATTACAGTTTTCATGTACAGTAAAATCCTCATTTTTACCACTTTTTTATTTTATAGATACTAGTAAGCAGCAAACATTATGGCAACTTCTTCCCAGTAGGCTTTAAAATTCTTTGCCCATCTGCCCCAGTTTCTTTACTGAAATATATCTAAATAAGATCATTGCAACCTTACGTCTCAGCATCTCTCAGAATCAGGCCCAAAATTGCAATGTGTATTTATTGATGAAAGACTTTGGATTCAAAGGGTCTCCATTCTTTCATCTTTCCTAGATAGAACTGTATTTTCACAATGCTGAGCCCACAACATATCACTTTCACAGATGATGAACCTTCTTGGAGAAGCCTCCATTTCCATTTCTCTTGTCAAACTTCAGTGCATCCGATCATCTCTTTTAAACGCTAATGTAACTTTGCGGGCTATTGTTTTCTATTCACAACTATCTATAATTGGAACAAAACTGTGGATGATAGGAGAAACCAACAATGAGAATGCAAGTGTCCTTCAGCTGTGGAGAAGAGAATATCCACAAGACAGTGTAGATACCTGCTGATTCGAGTACTCTGGCCCTACACTAGATTCCTATTGGAAATAATGGACTTTGTACCTAAGAGCAGGAGTTGACTCTTCTGTCAGCCTGACCGTCAGTCGACCATATACAGAACCTCCCAAGCAAACTTGTTAATCACATTTCCGTTAACAGTCACATACAGTCTTGGTGAATATGAATGGGGAAAAGAGGACAATTTGATGTTTGTAATTATCTGTGCAAATGCAATTGGGCAGGAGCAAACCTGTTGAATGTATGCAGCATGGGTCCTGGAGCATGTATAAAGCAGGCACCTAGAGAAGATGAGACTAAGAACTTCAGGTTTCTCTCCAGTAAAGCAGAATGCCACACATGATCACTACCATGAACAACAAAGGGGCTTCGTTGAAAGGTAAGTCTCCTGCCATTAGCTTATTGATACTTTTGCACTTGAACTGAATGATCCAGAGATGGAAGTCGTCTATTTAGGCATGGATCAAATGCAGCAGAAACAGAATCAGTGCTAGCTTCCTCCATGCCAAGATACAGAGTCTGTATCTAGGGATGAGAAGGCAATTTGGTTCCTTATACTTACTCAGTCCTTGGTAGTTTAGACTACCAAGAGAGCTGATTTGTATTGACTGTAATTGGTTGAAGAGATATAATAACTGCACAGACTAGCTAACTGGTCCACAGAGACTGGATACTAGTTGTCAGAAGGCAAAGACTTGCAGTCATTACCAAAACAGTCCAGCTAATGATTTAAAGGTGAATTTCTCTATAACCCATACCTAGTCTCCTAAGCAAGGTGTTGGCAACCTATGACTTATAGGTTGGATCCAGCCCATGGAGCCATTTGATCCGGCATGCAGGTGTATGGCCTGAGTGGCATTCAGCAATGGTGGGGCTTTGGTGGTGATGCCAGCATGGGGAGAAGTAGCAGTGGTAGATGCTTTCCCCATATCACTATGGGAAAAATAAAAGCAGTGAGCACTTTTCCCATGCCACTTTAGATAAAAGTGTTGGCAGCACCTGAATCCTAGTGGCCACGTCCTCCCCTGTCCACACCTGTAACCCACAGCCTAAAAAGGTTGCCAACTACTCTCCCAAGCCATAAGGTCTGTTTTCTTTATTCATCCAGTCATGACTCAAAACACTAACTAACCTGGCCCAGGCTGATTAAAATACCAGTGTTAGTAAGTGGACTTTTCTTGAGTGAAGAGGCAAAAAATAACCTGCGGCAGTACATATTATTCCCTTAATGAATAACATTAAGATGGCTCTGTGGATTTATGAAGTAAATATGAGTTTAACATGTACAACAAAAGTATCTGGTAAATTACTGTATTTATCAGGTCAACTTTCTAATGCACTTTACCTCAAAGTACCTGGGAGAGCAGTATTTGAACTAATATGTTAATTTAACAAGCATTAGTTTTGTTTATGTTTCACCATATTTCCCTGCATATTTTATTTGGGGAGGAAAAATCCTGATTCTCTTAACTTAATGTTAAAAGTTAACTGTTCTGGTTTTGTCTGTAAGACATTTAGGAGTCCCCTACATAGTCACTGAAAGTTTGAAAGAGGTACAGTATGTGTTTTCTAAGTGGTAGGCAATTTAGGGTTAAACTCTAAACAGTTAAGCTGCACAGCTGCTGGAAATCTTTGGAGGGAACACCCAGGACAATCAAAATCTTAAAAGAGTGACCTAACCACCCTCCCTCAAAATTAATTTAAAGTCCAAATGTCTGCAAAGAAGAAAAGCACTCATGGGAGGAGGCAAAAATAAAAAAAGGGGAAAAAAAAGAAAAGAAAAGGGAGTGCCCACTTTCCAAACTATATATCTGTGCAAACATAATTATGCATCTATATTTGCACAGCGGAGAAGGTTCATCTTTTTCCATTTATAACTGTGTAATAAAGTCAAGCACCATGGTAAGAGACTGTACAGAATACAGTATCTTGTAACAGAGGTGTCTTGAAATATATGAACAGTATCTGCTATAACAGCACATTCTAACTATATGTATCTCCATGTTTTGGTTTGGATTTTTCATTTTCTTGGTTTTTAACATGGATAGGTGTGCTGCTGGTGTTTCTGCTGATATCAAACATGTTCCTGACAAAGAAAAGTGTGACTTCTTTGCCCATCTGCCCCAGTGGCTCTGTCAACTGTCAGGTATCCCTTGGGGAACTTTTTGACCGTGCAGTTAAACTTTCACACTACATCCACTTCCTCTCATCAGAAATGTTCAATGAATTTGTAAGTACTTCTCTTCTTATGAGTAAGACTTTATAGAAGCTGCAACACAATACATTTTTAAAACAGCACAAGCAGAGATTGCTATGCTTCAATGGCTAAATGTATGTGACTACTGTACATATGGCCATAGTCCCAATAGAGAAAGAATGTGCTTATTAAAGGCAAAAATGTTAGTGTGCCTATTATTAATTATGTCCTACTCTGTTTCCAATTGCCTATAACTATGTCAAACTTTAACCATATGGGGTGAAGTTTTCCATGCTGTAGCATTTGCCTCTGGCTGAATTCTTTTTGGCAAGTTTCAACCAAAACAGCTGGACAAACACAGCACATGCAGTGCTGAAACCAAAAATATAACCACTATTTATTTTGTTTTAGAAGGTCTTGAACCGCAGCTCTTTGTATTGATTTATTTCAATAATGCATGCCCTTGTTGGTTGACAGGATGAACGCTATGCTCAGGGCCGGGGGTTTATTACAAAGGCTGTTAATGGCTGCCACACCGCTTCCCTAACCACTCCTGAGGACAAGGAGCAAGCTCAGCAGATTCATGTAAGCCTCATATCTAATGTCTGTCAGCATGTGTAAAGGGAAATAGGGGAAAAAAACAGTAAGGAATAGAGTTGATTAGACTGTAAGCAGTGACTAGCGAAAAAAGAGTTAATTAAAAAATCAACTAGCCTGAAAGAGAAAAGTATTAAAAAAGAACAAACATTGATGAATAATATGTACATACTTGCAGATGTGCAGAAATACACAGTACATACCAAAATAAATCCAATTCTTTTAGTCTTATCCTACTTCCTTCCCTCCCTCCCTTAGTATGTTACATTGAATCCTGCAGCAGTCATTGCATTATAATATAACCTCTCTGGAGCAAAAGCCAAGACTTTCTAAGTGTTCACATGGCACACAAGGGCTTAAACACAAATAATAAATACTGTATTTACTCAAATACAAGATGGCCCTAAATGTAAGATGTCCTCCCCACCATTAGTTAGATTCTACACACAGAAATTTTATAAAGTTATGATAATTTTCCATGTATGGAATCTAAGTACTGCAGGATCATCTTAAATTTATTCCCCTGCCCACTACTGCAGGTGGTGGAGGGAGAGGCGATGAGGGTGAAAGTAATGG